CAGCTTTGACGGTAACATATATATATATATATATATGTTTTGTAACGAAAGTGTAATGATGGTGGTATTAAGTTGATAGGTGGGATAAATTTTTGTTGTTGTTGTTGTTTTTTGGAACGAGTCAGGATCGCGACTTTATAAAACAAGATAGGCAAACGTACCGCGGGCATGCGCCGGCATTCATATGGGTAGGTAGATATGACCATAAACCATAAAGATTTCTCTCTCTCTCCCTCTCTTTCTCTATCTTTTGCATGTGGTACCACAATGTTCGCTTCGAATCGCCCATTGACCACCCACGCTGCCCGAAACGTCCTCCCTTCGCGTCTATCTCTATTTCTGTATCTATCTCGAGAAGAAATAAAAGACGAGATGAGTAGTTTGAGTTCGGTAACTTCGAACATCTTCCGTTATGACCACGACGACGACGACGACATCGACCGAATTTTAATTAGAAAAAAAAAACAAGAAACAGAGAGAGAGAGAAATTAATAATAATTTTGATTTATTTTATTCAAATATCCAAAACAGAGTACGAAAGGATTTATCGTATTGAAAAATTATCATACAAGTAGAGAACCGAGGATAAAATTACAAAAAGAGAATACGAAATTATCAACTTCGACCGGTACTCTGTGACGAGTTCAACCAAATTTCGATAGAAAAAAAAAAAGAAAAAAGTAATATTTGAGAAAAGAACGTTAGTTTTTTGTATTTATAATCCCATTTAGTAGAAAAATATTTAAATCAGAATTCCTGAAAGCACGGGCGAGTAAAGAGAATTAAAAGGGAAAGTATAATTAAAAAGGAAAAGCTGGAAAATAAAAAATAAATAAAAATAAATATCTAAAGGATTTACCGCGTTATATTATCGAGGCTCTCGTTATGCGCGTTTTATATATATTCTCTTTTTTTTTCTTTTTTTTTCTTTTTTTAATATTTTCGTTGGATAAAATGCCACGTGAAAATGGCCGAAGAACGAGTTTAACGACACACGAGGCGAGATAAGGCACGTATCGCCGACTTTCGTGTATTCGGTTTATTCGAACGATATAACAGATTAAATTCGAGCCAATTAATTGGATTCGCGCCGCCGTTTGATGCAATAATATCGCGAGGTATTTTCACCAATTTAGGCGAAATTCTCTCGAAAGTTGTTCGCCGTTTTTGTAACGAGCAACCGTAAGCTTTTGATATATGTGCGGATATTAGGATTATTAAATAAATTCATAGGCGAGAATGCTCAACGTGGAATAATTGTTGAAGACGATTTATAAACACGGTCTTATCGGGACCAACCCCATTTCAACGGATATCAGAAAATATAATATATTCATGTATTTTCTATTGAAATAATTAAATCGGAGAGATCAATGAAAAAATATAATCAAGAGATTAAACTATTCAAGATTTCCATCAGAAAAATATGAACGTTTAGTTTAATTAACCTAACAGAAAACGTTTGAAAAAAAAAAAAAGAAAAAGAAAACAAATACATAGAAAATAATTTCTATCGTTAAATTTTCCAAATCATAAAATAAATTTCAAATTGTTCGAGAATACAAAAAATTCCTAATTTTGTTATCGTCATTTTTAATAAGGAATAAAATAAGAAAGGAATGAAAATTCGGTTTTTCCCAAAAGGGTGAATTCGATATGAAGGAAAAAAAAACAATACGTGAAAAGGAATAAATGGGTAGGTTTAATCGACTTTTTTTCTTTCTTTCTTTTTTTTTTCCTTTCCCATAAAAATATGAGAATGATCATATGAGGAAGAGAGGGAAGAGGAGCTTCACTTTCGGAAATTGAAGTCGAAAGTTGGACGGTCCCGGAACCTGGAGATTTTGTCCAATATGTGGGCATGATTCGGGACAACGTAGTCACTCGTATTTCAGGCTGGTGAACAATTTCAGGTCGCTGGTGGCTATTGGGACGTCGCATTTTGGATTTCATTTGCAGAGTCGTAAGTTTTCCCCGGTTCCATAAGGACCAAAAAGTGGGGATACGGTCTTTCCGTGCCGCACAAGCCCGTTACAACTGCGGACACGTTATTGAGAAAGACCTGGTCACCCGTAGTTCCGCGACCGGGTTAAGAATTATGGACGCGTTAGATAAAGCTGCTTCCACGTTAGTTCTCTTGAAATGAGATAGGGTAAGAAAGAGATAGAGATAGAAAAATAAAGAAAGAGAGAGAGAGAGAGAGAAAAAAAGATTCTCGTAGACTCGTTCGAGTAACACATACACGTTGTAAAGGTGAAACGTTAAAATTGGACCATCTATCCGATTTTACCGGTAAATCAGCTCTCTTTGATCGTAGGATAAAAGGAACTCTGCGGATCGCCGTTAAAGAATAGAACTGGAAAACGAAGAAGAAGAAGAAGAAGAAGAAGAAGAAGAAGGTGAGAATGAGGGGTAAATCAAGTTGGTCTCCAATAGGTAGCAACGAGATCTAACAATAAGAAGAAAAAGTAACAAATTCGATGTTAGATCGATATCGTTTTATTCTTTCAAAAGTCTTCTTCTTCTTTTTCTTCTTCTTTTTCCATTTGATATCTTCGTTGGTAGAAGAATACTGGAAACAAACAAGCTAGTTTTCCCTGAGAATCTTATTTTCGAGAGTAGTCGAGACTTGGCGGCATCGATAAGAAATAAGGAGGAAAGACTAATTGATTCGAGAAACGAAACAAGCTCTTTAACTTTTAATTAAACTAATGGATGTTGTGGGAAAAGGGAGGGAGGGAGGGAGGTAGGGAGGGGGGTCGGGAGGATTAAAGAAATCTTTCTAAATGAAAGATTATTTGTTAGAAGAGAGTCAACGATAAACTAAAATAGAAATAATATGAGAAAAAGATTTCTATCGTAGAAACCGCACCCTTTTATTTGTCGATTAGATTTATAATAGAATAAACGAACGTAATAATAGATATATATATATAGATAAATCGTATGAGAGATATTTAATAAAAAATAATCAGGCAAATTAGTTCAATGAAATTGATATTTTTTTAGCGTAAAGAGAGAGAGAGAGATAGAGAGAGAGTTTATAGGGGGATTACCAATTACCTCATTCGGTATAGTAATATCGGTATATGGGAGAAAAGAAAAGAATAAGTTAGCTCGCGCGGAAGGCCATTTATACAGGGAAATAAAGTAATTAGCCTCGACCTTCGAAGCGAAAGGTTCCTTCAACCTTTTTTTTCTTTTTTTTTTTCTTTCCATTGGGGTGTTGGAGGAGCACTGAAATACGATGTTGCCCTTCTTGCGTTGTTGCTTCTTTCCTTTCCTTGCTTCCTCTGCCAATTTGGCAATTAGCCTCGGCTCCTTCATCGAGTTCGGAACAGGGTACCACTGATCGAATCGACCGGCTCGTTACTTTCTTCACCTTTCTGACCTCTCTCTCTCTCTCTCTCTCTCTCTCTTTCTCTCCCTTCGTTCTTTTTCGGATCTATCTCGTCAAAGAAAATGGCTTACCGTAAAACGTTACATTTTCTACGACGTGTGTTTGATACCAAAAAGAAAAAAACCAAAATACTCTGTTACGTTGAAATGAAAATACGATTGTATTTGAAAAAAATAGTGCATAATTGTGCATACAATTTCTTTCCATTGACAGAACAAATCATTATTCATTCTTATGTAAAAAATAAAAATTTATCGATTTAAACGTTTAAATATGTATATATATATTTGTGTCGTTCGATGTAATATAAATTCGATTATCAAATGTAAATTATAGACAAAATTTGATTTCGTAAATTTAGACACAACTCGAAATAATTTCCAAGTAAACGTTGTATAATTAATAAATATTATTTAATAATCGATTAAAAATCTCGTTATAATAACAATAAGATCGAATTACGAATAATACGGTAGTGATTGTACAATTAAAATCGATTGTCAAGTGTAATCATTTTCGAAGGACGGTGACTTATCAAAGATCTCACGTTGAAAGAGAAACAGAGAGAGAGAGAGAGAGAGAGAGAGGGAGAGTAACGTCGAGTTCTGTTTATTCGTCTGGTCTCGAGAAGAGAGAGAGAAAGAAAGAGAGAGAGAGAGAGAGAGAGAGGAGTTGAGTAAAAGAGAGAAAAGGATGGATGGGAAAGGTGAAGGTGAAGGGAAAGGGGTAGGGGTAGGAATGGGGAGGGGGGTGAAGGCAAAAGCGACCCGTGGGAGCCACGCGCCTGCCGTGCGCCACCTCTCCCCTCCATTTCTATCATCCTCCCTACTTATTTTCATCCCCACCAATTGTCCGTACTCAGGCCGCACGACGATAGAGCAAAAGGGATGGATCGAATGAAAGTAAGAAAGAGAGAAAGAGAGAAGAATCCTCTTTCGAGACGTGGTTTAACTCTGCGGACCTTCTCCGAGTACTCTGGACGATGAGCTCCGGAAAAGAGGAACCGAGTTAGTACATTCGCGTACGTGAAATTAACTTTACTCTCGTGGCTAAATTACCTTCCTTGGAATTCCACTAGATAGACAGACATTCTCGTGATATTACATCTAAGATACTTGTAAAATTTTCTTTACGATGATACCAGAGATTACGCGTGCATGTTCTCTATCTCTCTCTCTCTCTGTTTTTTTTTGTCTATTTCTATTTCTATTTCTCACTCTTTGTGTTATTTCTTATCGAGTAATATCATGAAATGAGAATGTCTAACTAAATCCTTGAAATATTCTGTATGCGTATATAAATTTTTCTTTTTTTTTTCTTTTTTTTTTAACACGTTCAATATGTCTACCGCGAAAAAATTTTTTATTAATTTTTATCCCTGTTCTAAGATAAGAAATGAAAATGGGTAACCTCGGAGCACAATGGAAATCAACGTAAAAATTAAATATAGTTGAATCTCCAGTATCCGTATTTTACTATTCGTTTGTTTCATTATCAAAACATTTTATTATCCGATGTCATTTATTCTATCCTTTTTTTTTAATTGCTAAATAATATATTTTATCTCTCTCTCTCTCTCTCTCTTTCTTATTTTCTTATATACATTACATTTTATTGCTATTTATATTTGATATTTTCACGTATATGAAAATTTTATCATCCGAACTATTATGTCTTCCCATTAATTTAAGAAACTGGAGATTCTATTGTTAATGAATGTTTAAATACTTGTAGGTAGATTTTGATGGTCTATCTATTATCCTTGTTTTGGTTCAATGGTCAAAGTCATCGAAAACGACTCACCTGAAACACAAAGAATAAATATTACGTTAGAGCATTTGTAATATATATATTTTCGATTATGTTATTTCTAGAATCTTTGGATCGTGGATAATGAAAGTTCCGCTACATCGATTATCGTATTATTGCACTTTTCTTGGTTACGTTTGAAAGGATTTTTAAAGTCATTGTTTCATTTAGAAGAGAAAAAAGATTGTCACAATCTGTGACTCGTGAAAAATGACTATTCTACGGTCCAGTTCCCTCTCTCTCTCTCTCTCTCTCTCTCTCTCTCTTTTTCTATTTCTCATTCTCGTGATGTCTCTCGTACTCGTTCTTTATCTCACGAAACAAGCTGAGCGGTAGATCGTCGTTATCTAGCCGATAGGGCGTGTGTGCGAAAGTGGTACCACCGGATAAATCGTATAACCGCCTTCATATTTTACGAAACTCGTGATTCTATCTCCCACATTATGGCGAAACTAGATAGCTCTAAGCTCAACTAGTAGTAACCACCAGGAGCTTCGGCTTATCCGCAAAGCATCGCTGGAATCCATTCTCCTCGAGGATTCTCCGGTGTAGGAACTTTAAACAACGTTGAAGTGCCGTTCGATCTTTTCCTTAATGAACGACGTTTAAAGCAAACACAAAGTTTCTTCTACATCCGTACGTACGGTCATTCAAATTAATCGTATCAACTTTAATAACAAAATCCGAAATACGAATATATACAGGTTGATACTAAAATAGGATTCACGATTTCTGAGATAGAAAAATATCTTCAGTAATTATTATGATTTTTATTATCTCTTACGAATAATTTTGCTAGATTATAATTTTTAATCATACAAGTCAAATTATACGAATACTCTTCCTGTAATTTACTGTACATTTATTAGAACCTTTTTTATCATTCGACGAATACAATCAACCCTACAAGTTATAAAACTTTTATTTTTTAATCATTCTGTATATATATAAATATATAACTTGTGTGATCAGCTGTAAGAAATATAAGAAGAAAAATACGATTTAATCGTTGAAAACACACAATTTTACATTATAGCTCGCGAATAGGAAAGCTTTCTTACTCGATTTTCGTTAAAAGCAAGGAACGAAAAGACATTGAACTTTTATATGTCTCTTTTTTTACCTTTCTTTTCTATACATATCCGCGTTCCATCGAGCGAATAAGAATAATGGTCGCGATGGGAAGGAGAAAGCTAGAAATTGCGTGTTCCCATATATGCGTGGCTATGTGTATGTAAGTAAAATAGAGAGAGAGAGAGAGAGAGAGAGAGAGAGAGAAAACATGGAGACCTTCGTAAGAAGAAGAAGACGACAAGGTTGGCTTTCCTTGAGAAACGACAGGATCCAATATCGCAGTGGGACGATTCCGAATGAGAGAGAGAGAGAGAGAGAGGTAGATATCGCAGTTAGTCCCGGACGTATAAAAGGGAGCAGCTACCTTTTGCCCTCTATTTTCATTATTATCACGCGGGTACGTGGTGGTACACGGTTGAATCTAGGGTGAAAGATAGGAAAGGAGGGAAAAGAGAAACGTATGTCGGAAAAGAGGAAACGAATCTACGGGCCAGGACGGAAGGTCCGTCCCCCGTGGATCGTTTCATTGGACACGATTTCAAGGCTGACTGCTCGTATAAAGTGAAAAACTTTCTTCCTAGCTTCGAGGAACTCTGAACGAACGTGCGTTGCTATATCTATGATTCTATTCCTCTTTCTGTCTATCTCTATCTCTCTCTCTCTCTCTCTCTCTCTCTCTCTCTCTCTTTCTTCTTTTCTTACTTTATTTCTTTATTTCTTTCTATCGGAGAGACATATATATATAAACGTAAGATTTCCGCTGATATTTATTCCCATTACCAGGAAATAGCCAACGTTAGTTCCACTTTTCTATCTTTTATTCCTTTTTTTTTTTTTTTCTTTTTTTTTTTCCCAGAGTTACTTCCCCGCCAAAGAGATTACCGATAACGATTCCGAATGTATCCCAACTATAAATAGTTGCCTTAAGCTAGCTAGGATTTTTCAAATTTATTTCGACGTAGGTGTTCGATTACGTTTTCTTTTTTTTGTTTGTTTTTCTTCTTTTTATTTTTCCATTACAATTTTGTTTCTTCCTTCCGGGACTATTTTTTTTTCGAGTCCAATTAGAAAAAGAATTTACTATATTTTTTTTCTTTTTTGTTTTTTTCTTATCGGAGATTGTCTTCTAAACGGGATCGGAATTAAATCATATAACAGATAAAGGGATTGAATAAGAGAGACAGGTGTCGTAGAGAAACGAAATCTTAACGGACAGGACGATACACGAGGACGCAAAGTAATGGAAGTGTCACGGCCAAGTGCATTTGTTCTGTCGTTCGCACGAAATCGATTCCAGTTAGAATGTCTTTCCTGTCCTGTTCGTGGTCGACGGCATAGGAAAACGTGAAGGTAAAGATAGCCTTTTTCCCGTTACGGAGACTAGAAAGAAAGTGAGAAAGATGAAAAACCCTTTTAAAGGAATAAACGATCGAAACGGTTACTACCTTTGTCAGAACGTATCCGATAGAATCCATTTTTCACGAAATATCGCATTCGATTTCTATCTCGTTCGATGGTGTTAGATTTACCTTAGGTTTATTAGAACGAAACGAGTTCGCGTAAAACCTTCATTACATGAACACCCGTTATGCAAACCTTCCATTATACCAACGGTATATCTACAACAGTACTTTAAATAAGCATAAATATTACTTCCATTTGTAGGACAAAATCTATCGTAATGATTATGTTTCTAATTGACAAACGTATGTTAAACGTTCATTGTTCTCTATATTATATTCAATATATTATATCATACGAACATTTTTTAATATTACAATTATAATTCGTATAACGTGAATTACTATTATATACAATTTGATCGAGTTTTTGTTTTTTTTTTCTTTTTAAACATATATATATATATATTAAAAGAATACCGTATTAAAGTTAAGTATTCGAAAAATATCGAACGAAGGAAAGAAAACGTATCGTACGTTGAACGTTACCATTCGTCGAATGCAAATCAACTCCTAAATTAAATTTAATCCTTCTCTCTCTTTTCCCGTTACCATCCGAGAAAAGTAGGAAAAGAACGGGATAGAATAGGAAGAGGGGGGATAAGGAAGGATAGTCAAGAGAGAGAGAGAGAGAGAGAGAAAGAGAGGACTAGCAACTTCCCGCGAGACTCGGCCACCGAGATTACCTTCGAAAACTCGGGCTAAGACTTTCGTGGAAAACTTTCAGCTAGTATAGTTTTCTCTTCCACCTATTTCTACTCTTTTCCTTTCTTATTTTCCCGACTTTGGGATAGGACAAGTGATCTCTCGATTATTATTCGCTGGCCCACATAAAACATTCTTATCTCCTGCCATTTATTTCCTAGTTTTAACGCGTTCGTTATCATATGTGATATATTAGTTTGTTTTTAAAGCACAGGGTCACGTATGCGTGACATCGTTGATTGGCCCGTTTTAATTTAGTGTATCGCATCTATGTGATAATATATTATCTACGAGCTCAGTGGTCCGCATATACACTACCGGCCAAAAGTTTCTAATTTTCTATGTAAATGCAAGAAAAAGGATATATTTTAGAACAAAAATGTATAGTAAGCCAAGAAAATGTATTTTTCCTACGAGTAGTACGTTATGTATTCTGTATATTATTTGATTTATCAACGAATGAGTATTATTATTCTTTAAATTACACGTTGATCATCCAAACCGTCATTATTTTGGACAACAGTCCGACGTATTACAGTTTAATAGTTTCTCGAGTATTTCTAGGTTATTTTGTAGAAATAGCCAAAGATGTTACCAATAAGAAAGTACGTTTGTACAAGAATATTATAGATATAAGAAAATAATGATATCTCTGAAAACATAATTAAAACTTCTTGGTATTTGATGTAACAATGATAGATCGTTTCAAAATTGATCGATGATATAAGCAAGTAAAATAATTAGAAGCTTTCGTTTGATAAAACGTACGACGCGTATCTACAATGAAATATTAATACTAAATTTATTTATCAATATATAATACTTGATAAGTTTGATATCATTTTAAAATGATTAATTGTTTTTCTTCTAATCACATATCCGTTAAATAAAAAATCAATTATAATACGAATGAGTAAAATAGTGTAAAAACAACACACAGAAGGGGAAAAAAAAAGAAGAAAAAGTAAGAGATTTCGTTTCGATAATTGATAATTTTGGTAAGAGCGTGCGCGAATGACGTCAGGGTTGCGCGTTTGTTGGTCCTTTAGAAATTCTCTTTATCTCATGGCGTTCGCCATGCGTGGGCGTTTTTCCCAGGCTCGGCATCGATGCCCTCACCAGAACTCTCCTCTCTCTTTCACAGTCACGAAGACGACGAAGACGACGACGAGAGCTAAAAGATATTCAGAGCCGTAGCAGATGAAGGTGTTACGTCGGCGCGCCCGAAACACGAGGACGTTTGCGATCGAGAAAAAAGAAAAAAGAAAGAACGAAAGAGAGAGAGAGAGAGAGAGAGAGAGAGAGAGAGAGAGATAGTGAAAAAGAGAAGAAGAAGAAGAAGAAAAAAAGAAAATATATAAAAAGAAGAGGGGGAGGTTTCTGTTGTCACGGAGGGAGTCTCCGTTGTCGCGGTGCGAAGGATAGAAGAAAAATAAAGGAAGAGAAAGAGTTAAAGGGCCTTTGGTATGCGGGCGTGGGCGTGGGTCCGTAGTGGGCGCGTGTCTCTGTGTAAGAGTGAGAAAGAGAGAGAGAAAGAGAAAGAGAGAAAAGTACCCATCGCGTCCCGGGTGGGCAGGATCGCTGCTTCGAACTCTCAAATATTTATGGCCGGCGCTTCGACCTACGAGCAAGAGGTGTTACTCCCGGGTCCTCGGGGCTCTCAGACACGCCAAGATTTACGCAACGCTCTCCACCATCGGAGAAACCGAGAAAATCAGAGAGAGAGAGAGAGAGAGAGAGAAAGAGAGGGAGAGA